TATATATATGTATATATATATAATTGAGATACATGAAGGTAAAAGCAGATGAATATACATATGTGCGCATGTATTCATGGGTGTATATATATATACACGCATGTAGGGATAATAACGAACTGATGTGATATAGTTACATAGCTATAGACATAAAATGGATGATAAAGTACATAAATGCATTAGTATAGCAACCTAAACATGTACAAACATGTGTATATATAACAGAAAATGTTGAAATATATGAACATATTTTCAGCTCTAGGTAAACTGAGTTGACATCTAAACATGTAAATATGTGGACGTGCAAGCAGACATATAGATAGTTATATATATATATATGTATATGTACAGTTGTATGGTAGATTTATATAGGACTGCATAAGCACAACTATATTGGAAATCTACGGGAACATTTACATACATATGCCCAGATACCACATACATAAGCCCAGATACATAAATTACGTTTATGAATATATGTATGTAGGGTTGACAGATGCATATATGTAAATACAAATACAATACATGTATACAAGTACAAATATATATGCAAGGTTCAGTTAAAACATATGTGTGTATATATATATATGTATGTATATGAAAGAGTAGCAACTAAGCGTGTGTGTCAGTATATACGTAAATAAGTATGCAGGTAGATACGTTTGTAAGTATATAGCTATGTTTGTACAAGTGCACAAGCATATTTGTAGGCAAATAGGTAATATGTTTATCACTACACATGTAAGCACGTCCACATATCTCTGTACGATTTAACTGAATATACATGTATGTTCGTTCTTGTTTGAAAGAAATATGAAAACAGTTCACAGCACAAGTGTATATATTTATATAGGTATGATGTTGATATATACTCACGAAGATCGAATTGTAGAGTTTATATTTGCCGAAAATGTAACTATTCAAACACTCAATTAACTAAATCTATATTAGTAGAAAAACAAGCATGTATAAGTCCACATATACATATACAGAATATATAAATGTGTGGTTACAAGGGCACAGAAGTATATTAATATTAAATACTTATGTATATACGTATGTGTATGAGTGTATAGGTATGTAAGTATTTAGGTACACAGATATATAAGTTTAGACATGCAGACAGTCAGAGCCTGCACATGTACTAGTAATGCCTGCATGGACATAGAATGTCGGGTGGAGCGATTGCGTACCTGGCTGAGCGGGGTAGTACTATCGCCCTAATGCCACCAGGTTAGGGAATTCGGGTGCCCCTCAAGTCCTCCACGACTCTTAGTGACGCGCCGGGTGACCACACCGTTTCCGGCAAAAAACCCACCACCCGGCAAGGCCAGCCTTAGACCCCGAGACACTGAGGGTTCAGAACAGTTTCTTTGTTTACGGGATTTCGAACTTAGGGGATGGTCGTCGTCTAAAACCTTCAGACTAGAAGCATGCAAATTAATGGAAGCATTGTTTCCAGTTTGGAGGCCCCGGCGCTCCAGCAGCCCGGGGGAAAAAGTCCGTGCATTGTCTGTACTGGAAAACATGTGTCTGGAGAGACCACCAAAAATCACCAGGGAGACCACTGTGCAGGGGACCACCAGACGACTCAGAACACCACCAAGAGACCACCAGCACACCTCGAATGCATGCCGCAAGTACTGGCGGGATTCAGAAACCCTAGAGAGTCGCCCGACAAACTGACTTTCCCGTAAGTACTGGTGCTTGCTCCCCAAGTACTGACAGCAGCCGACTTACGTTTTTCCCCCTAGCTTGCGAGATGCAGAGGAACACCTTGAATCGTTTGCCCGGCGCTGCTGCGGTTCAAGGTTTTCGAGAGCACAAAGTGGTCCATAGCCTTTGTTCACCATGAATCACGCCTCGCAGGCACCCGTACGTAACTAATAGGAAGTCGACGAAAACTATGTGCCGAACCACAGCAGGAGACTTGTGTATCCGATTGGCGGTCTTTCTATGAATAATAGGATGCAAGGGGCCTTTTTCGGGGCGCGCTTCGCGGCCACCTCAAGCAACGCTTCCGTTACTTCTCTCGCAAGAACGCCATAGTGTTACCACTGACCACACTGTTTGGGCAAAATATCATTTAAATTGCGGCGGCCTGAAGGTTTGTTGGAAAACAGGGTTTTCAGCACTTTGGGCCGTGGGCTTGCCCCTAGATTAGAGGGGTAGTTCAGCACGTCAAAATTCTGGGACCAGAAAGGTGCTGTGCCGTCGCCGTCCCTAATTTCTTCTGTCAAACATGACGATATGGACAGTACAGCATTTCAGGGTTCTGCGACGGTTGCAGAATTGCCCCATTGTCCCTATATTTTGCAAGGCCAAATATTTACAGGAGTACAGCAGGTCAGGGCCTTGATACATCAAACGTGCTGGTTTTAAATTTCGGCGATCCCATTGGGCATGCAGGTGGCATGCAGGAGCTCTCTTGTGTCGACGCCGGCAAAGTCGTTTGTCAGGAATCTGTTACCCAACCAGACAAAAGACCTGGTTTCTCTTTATTTTGATTTGCCTCTACTCTGTCTCGTTTTTCTGAACGAGATCCTATCGAACTTTGCAAGTTCGTCTACGTACGGATTTTGAAAACATGCGATGGGAAGAAAAACAATTCTGAAGGAAGGCTGTGTTCATTCCGACATCTCGGTATATGTATGGCTGGGAGTTGAATAGAGGGTGTGGATCCTGGGGGGAGGCGACTGTCTGTATGTGTATATATATATATATGTGTATATAATCATCGATAGACATACATAGAACTACATACATAAAGCGATTGGAGTCAGGACTACTTTGCATCCTAACTATGTAGCAGCTAGGACCAGCAGATGCAGACATCCATCTGAAATCCCGTTGACGAAACAGCAGTTATGAAACAGTAATAATTCTTTGACACTCTTTCGGAGAGATTCACTATGTCAATTCAGGCTGCCCTTGATCGGTTCGATCGCATTGTTTTTGCAAGATCATGGCACCTTCGCGTCGTGTGGATTCAGCACTTGCCCCATGGCTGCACGCGGTGCTTCCACAGCATCGTTGGGCAGGAAATTAAGCCATATTAGGCCTCTTTGGGCTCAGGAGCTGTCACTACCTCTCGCTTGTTCCGCTGCACGTGTGCCTGCTGTACCAAAACGTGTTTTTTGTGCTTTCCTGTCGCTGGCTGGCTCGCCTTTTCTTGCTGGTTCCGTCGCTGTCGCTCTCCCCGACTTTGTCTAGTTCGACACGTTTCAGAACATGGCAAAACACACCATCGCTGCTTCTGTTGTCGCTGTTGCTGTGGTTTGTTGTTTTACTCTGCTGCTGCTGCTGCTGCTGTTCTTGGTGCTGTTGTTCTTTTGATGTTCTGAATTGATGTGAACTGTTGGTTATGCCGAGCCCGGCAGCTGGCAGATGAATGTACTTTCAGTCTCATGCCATGGGTGCTGTAGCTGGGGCCCGAAGTTTCATTGTGGAGCACGTTTGCTCTGCAGCGGACGTGTCACGCACGGAGCTAATTCTGCCGTGTCAGCATGCACATGTTGCTCACAACCTCCAGTGCCAGAGCTCTTACAGCGACAGCAGCCGACATCGTAGCCCAAGGACCTTACGTGCGGCCTGGGAGTACACACAAAGAACACACAGGTTCTTATATGGTCTAGTGCCAGTCCATTCATTGCATTCGTGATGGCAGAGTCTGTTTGTTCAAGACAGGTGTACGTCTACTTTTGAGCACCTACTCTCTGCAAACTGTGAGCTGACGGATGATATTTGGTAGAGCCACGATGCTGAGCCAGCTTGGTAGTAGCAAGCGTCCGCACCAGCAGCTGTTGCTTCATTCCGACTCAAAGTTGAGGTGACCAGATCAAAACTGTGACGGACCACATCCAGGAGAAGTTTGAAGTCAGCTTTCTTAACCAGCGCCCTTTCTCGGTCAGCCGGAGGTTCGTCCGTTGTTGAAGTGAGTCCTGGGATCAAATTTCGTGCGGCTAAATTAATGACTAAATATGATTAAGTTTTGAGACTCCGCCAACGGAGTCGATGAATTGCGCAGTCTAGTCTCGTCGTGCTTTGTCTGTGTACGGACTTCCTAAATACCCTAGTGCCGCGCGCGGCCTTCCGCAAGTGGCAAGGGTCGGCTCTTCTGGGAGCAGTTGTTGGTGAAATTCGCCAATCCAAATCGGTTTAGACTTCCAGGTCGACTTCACGGGCTATGTTTCAGTCTTTGAAGCACAACCCTGTCAAAACTGTCGAAAGGTGCCCACTTCAATTGATCGACTTCGACTTCCCAAAGCCCGACTTTCTTGTCGCAGTGGGCAACGTCGCTTGGCTCTTGCGATGCTTATCGCATTGATTAGTAGGCCAGATTTTGGATTTCGAGGGTTTACTGTAGGAGCTGGAACTAGTGCTGTGGGTTTTCGGATATTTCTCGTTGTCCTTTCGTCGTGTACACGCCCAGCGTCCCGAAGACCCCACACGATCAGGTCATGGGCAGCCTTCAGGACTTCTTGAACAAGGTCGAGAGGACCATGAACAAGGAGCATTGCATCGAGGTGACCTGTTCCGGTCCCTGCTGGATTTGGGTTGGCGGTCCCGGATTTTTGAAGCATACTACGTTGGTCCAGTTTGGTTCAGTACATCATCAGAGTGCAAGGGCCTCTAAACTGTGAACTGGTCAGCGGGTTGCAGGCTGCGAGCTTCCAAACATGTCTTGGAAATTCGTTTGCGCGACCGCCCCTAGAGCCCTAGAGACCCAGGCCCAGGCCCTCAGCTCAAGAGTTGATGCCAACTGAAAGGAAAGTTTTCATCCGATACCATCTTTTGAATCCCAATATCTCAAGCAATCCCAAGCCCTTTACCAAAAACTCTAGCGCACGCTGCCAAGTACGACTGGCCCAAGTCCGAGATTCGGCACGCATGCTCGTGCCCGGGCGGCACTTGCGTCCTGGGTTTGGTATGTAGGGTTCAGGGTGGGTCAGCGCAACCGAAAGAGAACACACATGAGACGTGATCAGCCTATAGAACTGCATTGGGGTTCAATGGATTCGAGGACAAATGCAGCGTCAACCCCGTCGTTCGCTGAAATCAAGCCGATTTGTGTTTCTATGCATTCAGGATTCTGGTCCCAGGCATCGAGTAATTGCGGCGAAGCGCTGGGACCTTTAAAATAATCTCCATACCGCGTGCCTTTGGTTTAGTAGTTCAGGGTTCTATCGCCTACCTCTCCGGTCCGTTACGCTGTTACCAAAAACGCCCAAAGGACGCACAAGAATCTTTCCCTGAGCTTGCTCAACACCAGCTCGATGTTATAGATACTGCCATTGAACCTTAGGGTATGTATAGTTTGGAATCCCCACTTTGCCAAGGCGGGTGTGTGTCAAGACCCCCAGAAGTGGTCGCCGCCGCCGATGGTCTGGCATCAAGTGGAAGAAGTCGTGTGCCACGAACCTGTAGCTGAACGACTTGTTGGGCTCCGGGAGTTCAGGCGCATGTTTTGGTGTTAGCTTTTAGCTGTTACAGAAAGCGCAAGATCTTCCATGTAGAGCCATGTTGCTGGCTCTCAGGTCCAGATTCCTTGTCTTGAGTGTCCAGATCTGTGTATGTGTGGGGTTGGACCCATGCCGTCAAGCATTGGGCTCTATCTTCTGATGTAGTTCAGGGCTGAGATGTGAGGTGGGCTTGTACAGATCCTGAAGGCATTTCCAATGGTTGAAGTACGGACCCTCAGAAGGATGTCGCAACTAAGCAAGAGTGTCGAGTTTGATAGTCTCCACACGGGTTCTGGGTTGGGCTGCGCGCACTTTCAACCAGTAGGTGTGGCGATGCTCGGCTATCGGAGTTCAGCTGTAACTTCTGGGGAAAATCTGATGATCCTCTACGGGGTCGTAGGCTGCCTGCGAAAGCACATTCTGCAATAGCCAGCTTGTACACAGATTTGCAAGTTCCTGCCTTCCAAATCTTCGTGGCAGGCTTTGACAAGGCAGGAAACCCCAAACCCCGCCACACCCTAGACTCCGGACCCTATAAAACCTTGTCCCAAGACCCTAGCGTGGTCCCAGGAAGTGAAGCACAGCCTGCAACCCAGTGTCCCTTAGTTTTCCTGTTCTGAGGACATGCATCCCGTACACACACTTCTGGGTCGAGAGAAAGCAACATGGCTTGATGGGCTCAGGGTTTCGGGTAGGCAAGTGTATTGAACCTAGCCATGGAAGTTGACATCAAGTCTGGCCGTCGTCGGAGCCCGTTTTCGCATGTCAATTCCACGAGAACTGTTGCTAGCTTTGGTGTATGTGATCTTTGCTGCGGATCTCTATTGCCGTTCGCCTGGCCATTCCTCATCCAGGACCATCCACCGCATCTCCGATCTCCTCAACCCTAAATCCTTCATTGCATCTCCAACTTATCGGGCTCAGGGTCCACATTCCAAGCCAGATAGCCTGCTGAGGCGACACTGCTTCAGCGCGAAGACCGAAGGGCTGAAAACGACGAAAATAGTAGATAGATGGGCTAAGCAGGTGTTTTGTTCGGGGTCCTTCAGGATTGAGGGGTTGGGCTTTGGAGTTTCTGGTGAGTTTAGGAACCCCTTTTTGCTCCCGTCTTCACTGCTGCAGCGAACCCCAACCCTATCGTCGGAAACCGCGGCCTGGAGCCCAAGAATGGCTCTTGATGGCTTGTGGTCGAGTCGGGGGTTCAGCGTCCTCCCGAGAGGAAAGTCCTGGATGGTATCTCTGGTGCACTAAAGGCCGCCGCTTGGATTCCATTTTTGGACAGATTCGGAAGAAGTCGGCGCCTCACAAGGCGCATGGCATGTACAGACTTGGATCCAAATCCTGAAACTAAGTTCCTAAATCTTTCGACCAGGTCCTAAACGCTACAGTGAAGAATTGAATTGCAAGCTGTGAAATGACGCGAAGAACTCGAGCCCGAAGCTCGAGCGTTTAGGCTTTGTGATGTCCAGGTATGTTAAATAGTTTTTGAGGTTTGTTGGGGTGCATTTTAGGAGGCCTTCATGTTTTCGGGCATCTTTGCGTCTCGGGTTTATGTTGCTTTCGGGGTTTCTTAGCTCCGGGTTTTGTGTTGTCTTTTATTCTTTTTTGTTTTTTTTTTGTTGGGGGGGGGCCTTGAGGGTCCCTGACCAACTACTGTATAGTCTACTTAGTCTACTTCGGGCATGTTATCCCTTGCAGCATGGCATCTTGAACGGTCAACCCTGTTGAGTCGCATGGAACCTAAACCCAAGACCCTTAAAACAAATAGACACCTCCAGACAAAGCCCAATACAGACCCCTTATAAGGCCAATAAACCATGTAAAAGGCTTTGAAGTTTCTCGTGAAGCTTAGCGCCGATCCGCCCAGGCGTTTGGGCCCATCTTGAAAGTCATCCAGGCCGCCATTGACGCGCTTCTGAAACCGGTGCAGCCGGGGCCTCGGGCCACGGCCGGGGGCCGGCTGCCGTGGCTCCAGGTTTAGAGTCTTTGGGCTAGAGGTTTGACAGAGGGTCGCAGGGTCTTCGCAGATTTGGGGTTTCAAGTTTCTGGGTGTTGGACTGTTAGAGGAAAGAGGGGATATGTCTCGGATCGGCAAGATTATACTTTGGGCCATTCTCCCTTGCAGTGGCAGTTGGGTATCCGTTACTGTGCTGCAAGTGGGTGTGCTTGGAGAGTGTAGGGTTTACAGGGCGCCGGGGCTCGTGCCAAAAAAGCTTGCATTGCTTGCAAAATTGGGCGAGAGCGATTGAACGTGTTGGTTCTGGGTCATCCGCAAACAAGAATGCAAGTCAAAAGCGTTGTTTTAGCAACCTCCCTATACCTATGTTGTCTAACAGGCCCTGCTGAGTTGTGATTAAAGTGCCCGGCTTGGCGGACATATTCGAAAGAGGGGCGCGTTGTCTTGATTACACACGTACACACGCACACATTCAGAGCATGGCATTGTACATTCCTTGTGCCCACTGTCAAGCCCTCTATCTCCCGAGAGGAACTTACTAGCTGGGATTGTGGACGAGATCATGAAGCCCTTGGAGAAAATGAAGACGCTCGGCTGGCACTACACTGGGTAAGCAGGAGGATTCTGTTCGGGTGCGAATGTTTATGATCTGGCATCTTCAACCACCACCTTTAAATCCAGCGCCCGAGTCTGTTACAGATCCTTTTAAACTCTGCAGCCGATGCCGCTGAGTGTGCGAAAGTCAGGGTGCGAGATACACCGAATCTCAGCTTCGGCTGCACCTCGCCATGCCATGCGGCACATCCGCTTCCAGCATGTAGAGTGTATGAAGATGACCATAACGCATCAGAAAGATTTGTGCCAAAGCGTGCTTTCGTCGACCGGGCCCTTTGCGCATAGGCACACCGAAGGCCCCGATGGAAAAGCTTAAAGCCCACCGCAGGTTGATTGATCGGTCTCCGTTGTGAAGGAGCCTCAGAGCCCACGTTTTTTTTTTCCCGACCCCAGGCTTGACCTGCCTTGGCCGACGATCGGAGACATGATTCCTGAAATCCCGGGCATCATCGACCTGCAGTGCATCCTGATCTGGGGTGTCTGGTTGCGGGTTCTCAGGTAACTTCAGGCTTGCATCTGTTGAAGGTTTAATGGTCCGAAAATCGGGGTCTGCAAGTCGTGGAGTGGACGGCTTCATCTAGAGCGTCGAAGGTAAGCCTTAAACCCCCAAGTCCTAAGTGCAAGTGAGCTGATCCCCTCCCCTGCACCGCATCGCATGGGCTCGGGCACAAAACTCGAGAGTGCAAGGCCCCCGGACCGAAACACCTGAGAACCCTCGAACGGCTTGGCTGTGGGGCGGCCCAAACCCGAACAACTCAAGGATCCTCGGAAGCAACAGTTTGCCGAGGTAGTGACATGCTTAACCTGGCCCGCTGAGTGCGGAGCTTTGGTTCTGCTTGTTTCTGGCAAGCGGTCCAACAGGACGGAATACATGCAATGAAACACCTCCAAGTTGCCTTACCCGTCTTGCGCATGCGGCTGCTCTCAGAGCCTGCGTGCTAGCATGATGAGTCTTGTCCCGACACATTCTATGACATTCAGCGTTACAGGCATCGTTCACCAGTGGTAGCAGGTCGTCCTTCGACCATATGTCGGGCTCAAGCCACCCAATTTCGCGATTGCGTGCGGCCACGCCGGTTGGTAATATCCGGATGCAGACCCAAGCCACTTTGAGTGCGAGACCAGTATCCTGCAAAATAACTAGAATATTTTGAACATCCTATTAGTAAACACTAGATGATTAAATCAAGAGTAAGGCAAGGAAATTGAAATCTATCTTCTTCACTCCTAATCTAAACAACAAAATAGGCGATTCGGATTGTGTATATATATATACATACTTTCGAGATTATTTTACAATATTCTGATTTTTGATGTTATTTGATTACATATATATATATATTGAGAGAAGATCGATAAAGGAAGGGTTTGTTATAATTGTACTCTCTCGGCGTCGTGTTCGTCGATTGTGGTTTTTGTTGTGCGGCACATTTCTTGTTGAAAATTTCGTAAATACTTATCTCGCGGTAATAAAATTTCGATTATTTTATTAATCGATTATATTTCTTTCTCGATATTGGGCAAATATATTTTTAGAATAGATGAATAGGAAGAGAAAGAAAAAGGGATAGAGAGATGTAAAGCAAAAGAGAGAAAGAAATATAGATATGAATATTTTCATGAGAGGTATGGAGATAGAGATAAAAAAGATGATATAAATCGATAAAAAGATAAAGATATAAAAAGAAAGAGAAAATATATCGATTTTAAGAATTATAGAGTATTATAGAGATATCGTGATAAAGAGACCAAGAATTAGAGATTATTTTAATAGAGAGAGAGATATAGAGAATAAAGCTTTAATTTTAAATTTGATATGGAGGATGCATATAAGGTCGTGAATTAGAATAGATATCGTATATGAAATTGTGGAATTATATATGATTGATATGATAATATTATCGATTAATTTATAAAAATATATATAGATTGTGTTATCTATCTAGAATTTAAGACGGAATATATAAGCTTCAATAAATTTTAAGACTTATCTTTATTAAAGAGAATTATGATATTAAAGTCTTTTACTAATTTTGTTTTTTTATATCTAGGTAGATTGATGCTAGATCACTTGGCGAAGTGCATTTATTTGCGGCCACCAGACTAACTAGTGCGTAGATCTTTGGAGCACTGTTTGGGAACTTGCGGGCACGTGGTAGGGCTATAAGATTTTCTCCATTCTATTCTTTTTTTATTCTCATACGAAAATACTAATGTTTCGCGAATTATTCTAATCTGAATCCTCAGTCGAAATTTCTTGGAACCAAGCCAAAGATAGTCCATATATGGTCAGGCGCTCCCTGGTTCCCCCCCGCCCCCGTAAGAAAGAAGAGTATATATAATACGACCTGGGGCCCGCGAATTTAAAATTTAATATTAAATTCGGGTTCGGAATTTAATATTTTAATGGTTTTAATCTTTCTCCCATACAAAATATACTAAGATATTAAATTCGAAGGCGCGGAATTTAATATTTTAATATTTTTCCTTTACCGGAATATTTCAAACATAAAAATATTAAATTCCGGGCCTCGCTCTGGCCCCAAAGCCCAAAAAAATTTAATATTAAAAATATTTAAAATATTTAAAATATTAAAATATTCAATTCCGCGCCTTC